TTTTAAAATTTAAATGTTTTTTTTTTTGGTTAATTAAAGCAATTGATTTAAGTGCCATATACTCGTAAATGCATATAGATTTAACTTTTTGTTGCGACAAAATCGCTCGTCATTTGTGCAGACTACAAAATTTCCAACGGCATTTGGGTATTATTATTATGCAACCACAGAGAACTAAAGTCCGTATGCGAATGTGCCATAAACCACATGATTTTTATACCCTTGCAGAGCAAAAGGGTATTATAATTTCAGTCAGAAGTTTGCAACGCAGTGAAGGAGACACCTCAGACCCCATAAAGTATATATATTCTTGATCAGCATCACGAGCAGAATCGAAATATGTATGTACGTCTGTCCGTCTGTCCGTCTGTCCGTCTGTCCGTCTGTCCGTCTGTCCGTTTCCGCGCAAACTAGTCTCTCAGTTTTAAAGCTATCGTGCTGAAACTTTCCCAAAAGTTGTGTAGTTGTTGCACGCAGTATATAAGTCGGAACGAGCCGGATCGGCCGACTATATCGGATAGCTCCAATACAAGAGAATGAAATAAAAAATTCTCACTCTGTTGTTTTTCATCAGATCGACTTGAATTCTTCAAGATGGCGTTTTCTAACTGTTATTGAACTTCGGATTAAATTTGATCAAAATCGGATAACTCTATCATATAGCTGCCATAGGAGAGATCGAAAATTATATATAGAATTAATGGAAATAAATTGATAATATCGTTGTTTTTCATCAGACAAGTATGATTTTTGGAATATAGAGTGTTCTTACGACTCTTGAATTACGAGTTAAATTTGATCAAAATCGGACAACTATATCGTATAGCTCCCATATGATCTATAGTCAAAAATATGGAAAATGAATAGAAAAATCGTCTTAGCTTCGATGTTGTCTAGCCTTTATGCGTTTTGTTCGACATATTTGATGACTGCAAGGGTATATAAGCTTCGGCTTGCCGAAGCTAGCTTCCTTTCTTGTTTAATTTCAATTACAAGTTTTCGGGCGGGTATTCATATATCATAGCCGCCGCATAAACTTATTAAGGGCATTGTCGGCTCATTGCCTCTGGATTTCGTGTGGCCTGATTAGTCGCTTAATTATTTCAAGTAATTACCATCATTTGCTTGGATAATTGATCCAAGGACGTGGCCAAAATGTTGCCTTTGTTCCCTTGTGTGCGGAATAAATTTGCCGATTAAGCTGCAATGGCGTATACCACAAACGGCGTGGTTTATCATTACGCATAACAAATTCGAAATAAATTGGAATATTGGTGGGGGTGTGGCAGGCTGCAGCCATAAACACTTAGCCTTTGGCTGTTGCTGCAGCAATCCTTTACGATTTGCAGTCCGTCCGGGGAAGGGCGTGTGCGAGTGGGCGTGGCAGGACATTAAATCATATTTGACATGATAAATTAGCAATGGGACCAGCGACCAGCAGAGGCGAAAACAAAGGGTGCCGACAAACAAGTTTGTCTCCTCGAATAAATGCAGGAAGGCGAAAAACAAAGGAAGATGCCGCCAACGTTCTGCCCACGAATTTATATCCCTTCTCTGCTTTCCCTCCACATTTCAACTAGGACTCCATTAGAATTTGAATTTGTTGATGTTTTTGTTTTGCTCACCACCCTCGATTTCCACATTTAAAGAGTGTTTTTGTTTTAAAAATACTGTTTTGCTTCCGTTCCACTTTTCCCAGTTTTTCCCATTTCCAACTGGTGTCTTCTGTTCGCAGCTCAGGCATTCGTGTGTGCGCCCCTTTCAGTTCCTATTTTTCTCAGTTTTCAATTCCATTCAGCTTTTCTTAATACGGCATTAAAGCAGATCGCAGTGCAACTGAGTGCGTATGTGTGTGTGTGTATGAGAAGTAAACAAATGTGCTCGGAAATACAATGCGTGGAAGCGAATTAGATGCAGCTGAGTGTCGAATGTGAAACGGATATGTGGGTCAGCGAAAAGCAAACAATTTTCGATTTTTCGCCCTCCTTTGACTGGTTGAAGTCAACTTTTTAGTTGAGAACCGCAAGGCAAACAAATGTATATAGCAGTTTTAAAATAAATATCAACAAACCTTGAAAGCTATGTAAAAAATTGTATATATAAAAAAATGGTTCTATTATACCACACCATAATCGATTTTCACGTCTGTAAACAAAAATAATCATCCAAATATATGCACGATACCATTCTCCGATCGCAAACCACATTTATTATCGTATGAAAAGGCATTGGCTTTCGCAAAAAAGTTAAAACTAATAAATATTATATGTATTAAGTGCTGATAAACCATTTAACATCGTTATGTTTTTCTCTTAACATCCGAACCCTCCCAAAATGTGTTTGCCCAAAAAATAACTAAATATTAAATCCCATAAAAAGCGTCGGCATCGGAAACGTAAAGAGAAAGCGTTGTGCGTTGGCAGCTTATAAAGCATATTACACAAGTTTTTCAGTTTTTTTTTGCAGCAGGAAAGGCGGAGGTGAAAGCCCCAAAAATATACAACTTTTTATCAGAAAAATATACGGAAAAACGTTGAAAAACAGGGAGAAAGACGAAAAATTAACATAAACTCTTTGCAAAGCTGCTTAGGTCAAATAAAAGGCGACCAACCTGAATGGGTTGGGTCACGCCCATCATTTCATTTATATTCCACTGGGGTTTAAAATTTTACTAACGAGTCTTGTAAAATATAACCGTAAACAGAAGAGATTTTCACAGTGGTTTACTATAACATCCATGTTCCGATATTTTCAACTAGTGGGTGCTTATGAAAACATAATATTCAGAGAAAGATAACCATGAATTCTCGTAGTAACAACATATAGCAGCAGGCCAAGGTATTAAAAAAAAGTAATAAATATTCAACACATTTTTATATAAATCTTTGTAAATTACCACAAAATCACAAAAGGTATCCTTTTACTGTTCTGAAATGGTTACTTCTTCTCCCAGTGAATTACCTTTTAGGAAGGAAGCTTTGTTATTAAGGTCAAACACGATTTATTCGCTTTATTCCATTCTTTTACCACCAAGCCGAATTTTTAATATATCAGAAGATGAACAAAAGAGAGGTGAAATATTTATTTAATTATTCCAACCAAACAAAGTTAGTTTTATCACGATTTGAACGAATAAAAATCAATATGTTTAATTTTACCTTGCATTCATATATTTAAAAAAAAGTTAAAGTTTTGAAAAAGGTAAATTAATAGTATATGGGATGATATTTAAAACCAGGGCCAAAAACTGCTCCAAATTGTAAGGAACTTTTTTCAAGATGCAGCCTAAAAGTTTCCCAAAAGAGTTCTATCTACTATAAATAACTCTCGCCCATTAACTCCATTTTCTCGTGTCTATTAAAGCCAGAACTATATCCATCTGTCCGAATAAACAGTCGAATAAACTTGTCGTAAAGATAAATCGGTTTTCTTAACGCCTGCAATTTATGTCAAGGAGAAACAATAACAGAGTCCTTTTGTGCACAGCAATTCGATATAAAGCTTCAATTATTGAATCAGCTGTTTATGTTTTCATCATCTTCATCTGGTTATCGAGCCAGGATATAAGTTATACCTGTAAATTAAGCAAGGCAAACATTTTTGTACTTTGTTTAAGCACTTGCCAAAACCAGGACTTAAAAGAAAGTGCAAACAGAGCGTAACTTCGAATGTCTTTTCCTCATGCAAGATTGTGGCAATGAGTAAATATTTAAGCCAAGTAATTACACTGTTTTACTTTTATTCACAAATTGTGTAATAACATTCTGCAAGACAAAATAAAACAAGAAAACCTCCATGTGTAATACCTTGCCAATGGGGCTTTGCTCAAGTGGGAACTTTTGGGGCCCAGAGTGCTCCTGCATTCCTTGGGGAGCAGCCATGCAAATGGTGTAGTTGGAGCCATAAGGCGGAAGTTGTAAAGACTGCGAGCACAATCGTCGCACTTGGCTTTTTGACAGCCTCTCGTAAAGCGCTCCAAGTTGAGGGCCCCACCAAAATATTCCTGCAAAATATGTCCTTCCAAAGGACTTTTTGTCTGGAATAGGCCTTGTATACATACTTATGGCAAAGTATTTGTGTATGTATTCGGATTTATGTCGCGTATGCGACGACTTGCAAAGTTTGGCAACAAGAAGACAGCTCACGGAGGGGACCAGATACTGGGACAGCTTATGTTGCTCCGAGAAGTTGGGGGTACTTGACAAGAGTCTGAAAACAAAATTTGAATTCATTTGCGAGATACACTACGTTACTTAATTCAAGCACTTGGCCTTGAAGAGAGAGGATTTGTTACACAAAAGGTTATTCAAAAGAGCTGGACTGTGCTATTTGTCTAAGAGTTAACCCCTAATATTTACGTGATCTTATATAAATAAATCTTTATCAAATACTTTATTACACCTTTCTATCTTCATAGCCTCAAAGCCTTTTTTGACTGCCAAGTGGCATGCAAATGGCAGGTTTTCCGTCCTTAGAAAGTATAGCATATTCTAGGCTTTCCTCCATTGTTTGTCATTCTGAAGAAACTTTATTAGGTTTATCAGTTTCAAAGGCTTCATATTTGTTTTATTAAACCAAAAACGGCTGCCCGACCTTTTCGTGACTCTTACGCTTCAGTTTGGCCAGCAGCTTGACTCGCCTTTTTTAAGCTGTATCGATTTAATTTTATTTTGTCAAGTCAGGGTGGCTACCTCGCGAGCAGTGGAAACTTATTAACAATCAGGTGTATTTTACTAAAACGGATAGCAATCCCTAAGGCAGTGTAATAGGTATGTTTAAAGTGGCGTGAGTTCAAAATATGGAAGGTGCCATTTGTGGAGATTGATTACATTCTGCCAGAACCTCTGTATCTACACAGTTTACAAAGTTTCCTGGAAATAAATTCGTACAAATTCGACATGATTTGGAGTTCCTTGACTTTTCAACCAACAAATCCCTGCTGTCGGACATGGCGTATACGTAACATAAGCTCTAGGCCTACAATTTCAAAGAGTACTCACACAACACGATGAATGCCTAGACGCTTCGCATTGGATACCGGAACTTTAAGCCGCTTTGATGACTGTCGACAGCCGAAAAGGCTTGTCTGGCAGGAGATTGGCCTGATTGAGGTCCTTTGGCCGTCTGCGACACCCACGCACTTTTCCCGAACGCACACACACGCGCTTTTGGAGAGCAGAAAATCGTTTCAACCGGAGGCAATTAAAACGCTTCGACCACCGACTTTCTCCGTGTTCCAGCAAACGCCTTTTGGTAATTTTAAGCTCCTAGTCTCGTATATCCTGGAGCATCTCCTTCGTGGCTGGGACAAGTTTCACTGAAAAATGTAAACGCTCTTTCACTCGGGCTGGCAAATTGCTGAGACGCCTTTGCTCTGCCGCACACAAATATTCGGCAATTAAGTCCGCCAGAAGAGGGAAGGGTCGCTTGGTCGGCACACGGTGCGTATGAGCGATGGCGACCGTGGCGCAACTGATATCGGAATGCCTAAAGAGTACTCGTAATGTAAGCAGGCGTCAGCCGGCTGGCGTGTGCTATTTAATGGCTGCCATGGCGACGGCAAAGTTTAAGGAGCAGGGAAAGGTATTTCCCCCCACTTCCAGCTTTGTTGCTGCCGGTGTTGCGGTTTGTTGTGTGATCTGATCACGTATTAGCCGGGTCAACAACAACAACATTGGTGACACTTTAATGGGCCGACAGGGGGGCATTCTCAAATAAATATTTCGCATTTCGGCGGAAGTCTGGAGAGCTTTTATATTCCTCCAGAGTCATTGTGGACTACTATTGGTCGGTTTCAAAGTCGACTAGCACGTGAGTTGAATTCGTCATTAGGTGAGCGGGATGGAAAACTTAGAGCCCGACTGATCAGCTTTTTAAGAGTTTCACAAAGCCTGCTTTTAGTTTTAGCTTTATAAATACTTCTTTAAGGATGGGTTACGCACCTTAGTTTTCTCAAGTTCAATAAATAATCAATTATGCTGAGGAACGTTATATTTTTTTTATATATATGTAACATTCGTTTAAAAAATATTTTAAAAAACCTAATTTATTATATTTTTTTAGTTGTCTGTTATCACGCACTAGCTAGCTTTCCACTTCTAACACCTTGGAACCACTATGATAAAGAAAGATACACCATGGCCTACTTCAACTTTATATATAGTATCACTCTCTTTCTTTTTGTAAGGCTGCAGGTCCAACTAAGTCACTATTCTACACTGATATTTATTTTAGCATAGCTCGATTCATTTAAATAGCCTTTATTGCATTGGGCATGCTCATTAATTCCGAAACAAGCAAAACAAAGTAGTTGTATTAGGGGGGCCTGGCACGCCTAGAATTTCAGAACTCGCAAAATTAAATCCAGGCCCGCACCGCCTAAGCGGTTCATTCATAAAAACTCTCGCCCGAGCAAATTAAAGCTTTAAACACCGATACACACGACTTGAGAGGAGGTGGATTCTTGCAGAGCTCGCGTTGCCTACTTTTTGGGGCCACAGCAGCCGTAACATAAATCGAAATCAGCGCGCGACTTGCGCTGGAACTTTGGACGATTTTCCTGCGGACACACAACCAGACGCCTCGAGATTTGCACGGGAACTGAAACCGAAATCGAAACGAAACGGAACGAGCCTGATTGGGTCGCAGCAGCCGCCAAATGAAAGAGGCTGAGTTACTTCGTGGCCAACGAAAGTGAAACGTAACGCATACGCAGCGTTGACCCGCTTCCCCACATGGCCGAACGGAGCTTTCTCCCTCCGCGAGCTTTCGGAGCGGGAATTCGGGAGAGCGAGGACTCGGAACAGCTGACTTTTGTTATTGAAACCGCCGCCTTGCCGGGCGGCCTCTCCTTTTTTGTTGTTGTCCTGGGCCGTCCTATTCTTTCGCCAAGCAGTTTGTTTATGCAAAGTTTTGTTTTGGGGATTACCGAGTAATTGATTGCATTACAGCACTATTCGCCGACGACTTCGACTTTTGTCAACATCGCCAAGGTCGCGCAAATCCGATTCGGCAGATATATCACTGCCTAAACCAGCAGATATCGGATGTCCAATGTGGTTAGCGAGACGAGCTTTTATTGGACGGAGTAAACAAATGTGCACTCGGAGGAGGAAATGATAATGAGAAGAGATGGATTATGTAATTAATTATTTAATCATTTAATTAGGACGCATATATTGGCCGGATCTGGAAATGCCAGCACAAGTTATTTAATTAGGTGATTGCAATTTATCACTCTAGAAATTCGAGCCAATATATTAAATTTGTCTTATAGTTCTAATTAGGGACTACTAAAACCAATAGACTTGTATAAAACCAGTTTTATAAATACAAAAATATTATTTTAAATTTATTTTCATACAGTGATTTACTTAGACCTTCATTGAACAAACCATGATGATTTTTGTGAGTCCACTGCTTTTACTGAAAATTACATAGAATAAAATTATCAGTTCCTTCAACAAAGCCACTAAAGGTTGATCATTTTAGAGTGGAATAAGTAGATAAGTCTGCGAACTTGGAGTGCTAAACGTCTGAAGAGTATTAAACCTATAAGATTGGTTCTTATCTGAACATAGACCCTTTATCTGATATCTGAATGGTCCTTCAACTTCCTAGCAATTAGGCAACTAAAAGCTTTCAGAGCGAACGTGAACCGAGGTCTCTTACCACAAGACCAATTTATGAATGGAAGTCCGTGTGTGCACGGGGCTATAGAGCCTAACTGTCTTCCTTCCCGTTCAGTTCCTGCCATTATGTTGATAATTTGATTCTCATTGTCGGACTTGCCCGGCTTTGTACGCTTCATTGACAGCACCCAGAAAATGCCATTATATTCTACTTATTTTTGCGGCCGCTTTGTCGGTTCTTGCATTTAATGGAAATTGAAGTGTGTGTGTAACAAGGAAATATTGTATTGTATATTGTTTGTTATTGATTCTTGCTCTACCTTTTCGACTCCCCAGTTTCATTTGGCAAGCTAAGTAGTTGATTAAAAGTCGTTTAGTTCTAAATAATACAATCAATTTATCTTATTTAGCTTCTAAGCTTAAGTCTGACGCACAAAAAAGTTTCTGTCCAATTGTGGTAATTTAAGAAAAAAGAATTAAATCCAAATTGGATTAAAAAAATATAATTTAATATATTATAATTAATAATATAATTATTAGGGTAACAAATTACAAAACGTTTATGTATTATTAAATCTGTAAGTCTGTTAAAATGAATACCTACAAACCAAACATTTGTAAAACCTTAAGTTGGGCGCTTTCCACAAATTGTAAGCTTTTAGTCGTGACATAAACCATTTACAGTTGTTCGTGTTGTAAAAAAACATAGAAATATTACACGGTCATAGAATTATGTAATAAATAAATAATTAAAAATATTATTTCGGCGGAACAAAAACAGTCTCCCACCGTCAAAACATTTTAACCCTATTTAGGTAAGTACGCTGCAGAAAATTAAATATTTCGATAGCACCAAAAACTAAACTTATTAAAATATTGCTTTCAAAAGCAAACCTGATACCAGAGATATCATGAGAATTTTCTTATTTATATTTTTGTGATAATGTGTGATAATGGATTGCTTAAATTCACTTTTGCCTTTCATGCAAGGAAGATTTATCTTCTAAGGTTCCAAAATTTTTATCAGTTTGAAACTTGAAGCTAAAATCGGCTGTCGTATCTAATTTTTAAAATGCAAGTCCACATTTTATTTGGTCGAATCGGATTTTTTATAACCTGTCCTATTGCCATATTGCCTATCTGATTTCGAACACCAAAGGATAAACAAAAATAGTACCTATATTTACTCGTCGATAGTTCAGAACCAGCATAGGTATGTATATTCTTTATACGAATGGGTCTTTTTTACATGTTCGATATTTACTCTACGACTATCGCCCATAAAAAAGGATCCCATATATTAAGAATGAACATTACTACCTACAAAAAATAATTAGTAATGTCTTCAACATTTTATAATATTATATTTCAAAATTTGTACATTTTTTTAAGTTTTGTTGAAACATATACAAATTTGTTTAGGTCGGAAAATCAAAATTTGTTTCAGACCTGTTATTATCGAACATTTTCGAGTAATCCCTGGTGGCTAGTATTTTTATATAGTATAAGTTTTAATATTTGCTGTTTTGCAAAAATAATCCTTTTTTAATGGTTGATTTATCACTCGTTTTTTCGCTTATCAATCTAACATAATTAAATCATTAATATTTGACATTTTTTTTATTATATGTGTCGCCATTTTTTCCAGTCAAAGTAAGAGAAGTTATAGTAAATGATTTCTGAGGATCGCAGTTCACTCAGCGTAGAATTCGCTTTCTAGCATTGAACCTTTTCTTTACGCATTTTAGTTTTAAACCGTAGTTTTTTTAACCAACAACTTATAATTTATCCCGAAATCCTTCAAAACCAACTCACCCCGAATTATGGCCCATCATATTTGCTTATTTTCCTTGTAACGTTTCCTCCCACTTAAAGAATTTTATTGCTTAACTTTTTGGCACGGAGCCTTTTTGGCTGCCAACTGACCTTTTGAGTGGCGGTGTTTCAGACCTCAACGATGCCCAAAAAGTTTTCACAGGTCAAAGTAAATATTTAGGGTTAGCCCACAACAATATGACAAGTTTTTCAGTAGGTGAAAGAAATTCCATTCGGCCCTCTAACCTTGTTGTCGAAAAACCGGGAAATTATCTTCGGAAAAGGAGTCAAAGAAATTGAGAGTGGGGGCCCAAGCCCCAAACTTTTTAACTCGATCGACCAAGGTGGAAATGCATGAAAATCACTTTAATTTTGCAGATGCGGCTAACCAAAACCACACAATAACCCGAGGGTGAAGCAGCCATCTGCTTCATTACAATTCGTTCAGCCAGTCCCTTATTTTGCGAGATTTCGTTTAAATAAATTGAGCTCTGCTTATGCCTTTTGTTTCGGGGGGCGGCAACTAAAAAAAGGAAAACTAATTAAATTGGCCGTTTGCCTAAAATCTTTGCGCTGCTCCCGACACCTGTAAACTTGTTTACTTCCCAGAGGCCAAAACTTTTGGTAATTATACAATTTGGCAATTTCGATTTTTCACTGTACGCTTATTGTTGTTCCATTCCAGTTACATGCTTTAATAATAAAACTACTTGGATTAAAATTTTACTTAACGTAGAAGATTTTAGTTAGTAAAACTATGTATTTAGTATTAATTTTTTAAGGAATTTCTTTCATATTCCTCTATATGAATTTGAACTGGAGAGAACTTTCCTGCATTATCGCCCAACCTTATACCCGTTGAAACATTTTATATAGAGACCTTCTTCTTACACGAACCTTATGTAGGGTCAACACATGGGCTTAACAAAACCAAATCCGTAAACTTCTAACCATCTTTTATCAGATAGAATAACAAAATTATCTTATCGCAAAAGGTGAAAAGAACTTTAAAAGAATAAAAACAATATTCAGATGCTAATTCACTCTGCAATTCACTGTTTTGGGATTTTTTGTTAGTATTCGAAGCACGAAAGGTTATTCAAAAACAGCCTTGAAATTCTTCAAGTATTTTATTCGAAGGCTTTAATATTAAACTTATCTTTGTCGGCCTCGCCTTGAACAGTTTATTGGCTCTGGCCCCATTATTAAAAAACTTTTTAGACCGCATTGGTCAGAACTTCAATAGATTTTTAAGGATTTAATATTAAATATAAAAACAAGAAAGGAAGCTTATGTACCCTTGCAGTCATCAAATATGTCGAACAAAATACAGTCTAAACAGCATGGAAGCTATGACGATTTTTCTATTAAGGCAGGTTCTCACCTTGTGGGGCCGAAAAATGACACTTTTTTAAAAAAATGTTGTTGAGAAAACGGTTAAAGATAAAAAGCTGAAATTTTTAACTTTATTTGAAACAAGAAAGGAAGCTAGCTTCGGCAAGCCGAAGCTTATATACCCTTGGAGTCATCAAATATTTCAAACAGAATACACAAAGGCTAAATAACATCGAAGCTACGACGACTTTTCTATTAGTATATTGGACTATTATACTATATAGTATATTGGACTATTGTTCATATGGCCGCTATGTGATATAGTTGTCCGATTTTGATCAAATTTTAATTGCTATTCAAAAGTCGTTAGAAAACTCTATATTCCAAAAATCATGATTTTCTGATAAGAAATAACAATGTTATCATTTTATTTCCGTTAATTCTATATAGATTTTTCGATCTTTCTTATGGCAGCTATATGATATAGTTGTCCGATTTTTATGAAATTTTTTTTATAAATCAAGGCTAGTTAAAAAACTTGATGCTCAAAAAATCATGCTCGTGGGATAAAAAACAGCGATGCTATCAATTTATTTCCATTAATTCTATATATATTTTTCGATCTCTCCTATGGCAGCTATATGATAGAGTTTTCCGATTTTGTTCAAATATAATCCGAAATTCAATAACTGTTAGAAAACGCCATCTTGAAGAATTCAAGTCGATTTGATCAAAAACAAAGGCGTGAGAATTTTTTATTTCATTCTCTTGTATAGGAGCTATCCGATATAGTCGGCCGATCCGGCCCGTTCCGACTTATATACTGCGTGCAATAACTACACACCTTTTGGGAAAGTTTCAGCCAGATAGCTTTAAAACTGAGAGAATAGTTTGAAGAGAAACAGACAGACGGACAGACGGACAGACGTACATACGTATTCTGATTCTACTCGTGATGCTGATCAAGAATATATATACTTTATGGGGTCTGAGGTGTCTCCTTCACTGCGTTGCAAACATCTGACTGAAATTATAATACCCTTTTGCTCTGCAAGGGTATAAAAAGATTTATTTTGCAAAAAAAAATTTCGAAATTGAAAAAAAAAAAAAACAAAAAAGGGCGGGAGGGGGCGTTACTCAGTGGCGGCATGTCGGGGAAAAGGTGTCCCGCTTACAGAAGTGATTCAGCCAAAATGCGTAATCGGAAATACAAAAACCAAAAAGATTTTTAAAGCGTATAGTAGGGGAGAGTGGGGCATTGTCGTCATTTTTTTTTTAATTGCGAAATTTGTTGATAAAATAACTTATTTTTATCATGTAATATACATGGTTGGATTCGGAAAAGATCTGGCTATAAAATGCAGTAAGTATTTCGGACATCCTCTCATTTGTTTATTAATACGAAACTGTTATCTGAAAGAAGGCAAAATTGGAAAATTGAAAAATCGTGGGGCAAAGTCGTCACCCCCCTGGGGCAAAGTCGTCACATAGAATAATGAATGCAAATATAGGTACCCATGTGCACAAAACTATTTCAACTTGTCAAACACACATTTATTGATATTCATACATATAAAAAAAGTGGAACACTATACCTATTTTTTGCAAAAATTTGACACATTTAGATCTAAGTGAAGGATAGAAGGCCAAAATCAGAATTTCTTAAAGATTTTTCTTTGGGCGACCTCTTTTTTAGAATTTTATTTTTGTTTGAAGAACATTTTGGAGACATTATATTTTATATTTAATACTTTACATAAACAATCACAAAACAATAATAAATTGATACGAGTTTGTATTTCAGACTGAGATAATACAGTGACGACTTTGCCCCACCCGTTGAGTGACGACAATGCCCCACGCGACATTTTTTGATAAAAACATGAATAACAAATCGAAACTCGAATCAGCTGTTACACAACCTACCATATCGTGTTCGCCAAACATTTCTCAACAATAATAAGTCACCTTTATACTTCTTTGATCGAAAATGTACTTGGAAGAAAAAAAGTTCTGCGCCGGAGAAAAATTACTTTTGAGGCTCCGAAATACTTTCTGATGAATAAATAATTATGCATAACCTATAATTCTACCAAACTCCGTCGGTAATGTAGGAATAGTGCAATACACTTACGCTAAAAAAAATTGGGTTGGTAGCCCTTTTATTTTTTAAAATAATAGCGAGTGACGACTTTGCCCCACTGACGACATTACCCCACTCTCACCTACTGTGCATAAAATGAACTAGCATAAGAAAAAAACAAGTACAAACAAGTAACAAATATACCCTTGCAGTCATCAAATATTTCGAACAGAATACTCAAAGGCTAAACAACATCGAAGCTACGTCGACTTTTCTATGAATTTTCCATATTTTTGACTATTATTCATATGGCAGCAATATGATATAGTCGTCCGATTTTGCTGAAATTTTATTTGTTATTCAAGAGTCGTTAGAAAACTCTATATTCTAAAAATCATGATTTTCTGATGAGAAATAACGATGTTATCATTTTAATTCCGTAAATTCTTTATAGATTTTTCGATCTTTCCTATGGCGGCTATATGATATTTTTGTCCGATTTTTATGAAATTTTTTTATAAATCAAGGCTAGTTAAAAAACTTGATGTTCAAAAAATCATGCTCGTGGGATAAAAAACAACGATGTTATCAATTTATTTCCATTAATTCTATATATATTTTTCGATCTCTCCTATGGCAGCTATATGATGGAGTTATCCGATTTTGATCAAATTTAATCCGCAATTCAATAACAGTTCGAAAACGCCATCTTGAAGTCGATCTGATCAAAAACAACGGCGTGAAAATTTTTTATTTTATTCTCTCTTATGGGAGCTATCCGATATAGTCGGCCGATCCGGCCCGTTCCGAATAGTTGTCGGCACAGGTTGGGCATGAAGCGGACCAGCTTGAGGATGCGGAGCAGCCGGAAGGTCCGAAGCACGGACAGACCGGAGCCACCGCCCCCCGTACCGTTGCCCATGAACGTCTGGCAGATCTCAATGGCACTGGTTTGCGGAGAAAGTATAAGGAAAGTTTAAGAGTTTGCGGAACTTCAGACAGGGAACTTTGAAAGACAGGATTGGCCCCTTTAAAAAAGCCTATTAAAACAGCAAAGTGGCCCACGAGGCGAATACGCAATGTGCTTGCAAAAATCACGTATACGACCAGTGGACCATTAAGTAGGCACTCGCCCTGTCAGTGGTTTGCGGAGAAAGTAGAAGAAAAGTTAAATCCCTTTAAAAAAGCCAATTAAAAAAGCTGAGTGTCCCATGAGGCGTATACGTAACGATTGTGAAAAATCACGTATACGACCAGTAGACCATTTAGTTCAGTAACCAGTCGTCACTCACCTGAGGATCACGATAATGCCATCGAAGACAATAAAACCGTTCGCTATGTAACGGAACGGTCCCTCGGCAATCACCTTGAGCAGCATCTCGACGGCGAAGATGCCCGAGAAGACGACGTTGCTCGTCTCCACAATGGCGGTCATCTCGGGCGGCTGGTTGTGGTACTCGATGCCCGTGGACAGGGTGTTGATCAGGATGGCCAGCAGGATGCCCTGCTGGAAGTACTTGTGCTCCACCAGCCGCCTTATGTAGCGGCGCACCCAGCTGCAGACGCGCGACAGGCAGCGGGGCGCCTGCCGGGAGCTCCGGTAGTTCCGGCTGTGGCTCGTCGTGTCGTTGTTATTGTGGTGGTGGTGCGGCCCGTGCGACTGCTGCTGGTGGTGCTCCTTGCTATGGTGGTTCGCCGCGTGGGGATCGTCGGGCCCGCCCACAACGGCCAACACCGTCGTGGGCTCGAGCTGCTGGCCGGGATCACCGGCCGTCGAGGCCACCACCACGGTGGCTCCTTCGGTGCCGTTTGGCGGCGTTTGGCCTTGTCCCGCCGCCAAGGAGCGCGGTTTGTTGTTGTGGTGGGCCCCAGCGCCTCGGCGGTGTGGGGATCGCAGCGGGCCAGCGATGTGTAGAAAGACTCTAGCGTACAGGGCCGGCGGAAGGTGTATACCGGGTGTTGAGCACTCCACACGCCAAATCTTAGCGGGTGTGGAATTCAACACCCCAAAATGCTTGACTTGTAGAAAAAAATTTATTTACATCCATTATTATCAGTTGAATGTATGATTCAAAACTGTTTCTCCGGCCCTGCATATAGAGTATATCGAAGAAAAACGAAGAGAAATCCCGCCTTTATCACGGCCCAATTAAATCAGTTTCTATTTAAATAGATAGATAGTAACTCTCCCAAATACTTCCCAAGTTAAGCATTTTCCAACTTAATGTAACAACTACTTAAATAATTATGAGATTATCATAAATAAATCTTTTCAGATTGGTACTTACTCAGTTAGCTCCTTGATCTGCACTGCAATCTTTCGTCTTCTTGAAGTAAGATAATCACCGCAACCACTTTATTCGCAACATTAACACTTAACACTTTACCCTGAAATTAAATAAGAAAAAAAATAATAATAAATAATTTGTTACAAATAATAATAGTTAGAATTATTTTGTTAGTAAAAAAAGGTATTTACCTCTTTGGGTTTTTTATTCACTGCATCTTGAAGTTCACTCCAAGCAGAACGGAATAGTCATCACTGTAATGAAAAGAAGCATTCCAAAATATTAGTTAAATTATTTTATACAAATCGGTTGTTTAAAAAATACATACCCCAATGAGGTGATGCACTGCATCCTGGAGTGGAGTTCAATAAGATAACCACTGCAACCACTTTATCCGCAACATGTACACTTTACACTTTACCCTGAAATTAAATAAGAAAAAAAATAATAATAAATAATTTGTTACAAATAATAATAGTTAGAATTATTTTGTTAGTAAAAAAGGTATTTACCTCTTTGGGTTTTTTATTCACTGCATCTTGAAGTTCACTCCAAGCAGAACGGAATAGTCATCACTGTAATGAAAAGAAGCATTCCAAAATATTAGTTAAATTATTTTATACAAATCGGTTGTTTAAAAAATACATACCCCAATGAGGTGATGCACTGCATCCTGGAGTGGAGTTCAATAGAAGATCACGCCATTCATAATTGATCCTGCAGCCTGTTGTCCAGTCCATTTATGTGGTGTCAGCATACTATATATTTCCGGTAACCGCATTCTTACAACTATTACTATATATATACTACATATATTTATATTATATGTCGCTACTTGTTTACAATTATTAATTGTGTTTGATTTTCATGTACTTCAAGATCAATATTTGATAAAATTTACCTTTCAAATTTCTTTCATGTTCTTGAAAACTTTCAGATCTTTATCTGTTTCTTTTAGTTTCTTTGTCAAAATATTTATGATTTTTTAAAATATATAACTTAATTATTTATTGTCTAAAGGATGTACTCACTGCGTAATAACTTTGGTGCAGTGCATCCTGATGTCGAACTTCAAGTTACAAGTTGGATGGTGTCACCAATTATTTTCTGCAATCAGCCAAATACACAACCAAAAACCTGAAAAAAAATATAAAAAAATTGAATTAATTAACTGCATTTTTTTTACAAAAGCCACGTCATCACATAATTAAAAAAAACTGCAACTCACCTTTTCAGGTTTGGATGCCCTGCATCCTGGAGTCCACTACATGCAGGAAGGGATCGGGCACCTTTAAGTTCATGCCAAGTCAGGTCATGATGCAGTGCATCCTAGGAGGAGTCGACCCATGGTGCACTGCATCCGGGAGTGGACTCCAGTAGGTGGAGTCGACCCAAGATGCACTGCATCCGGGAGTGGATTCCAGTAGGAGGAGTCGACCCATGGTGCACTGCATCCGGGAGTGGACTCCAGTAGGAGGAGTCGACCCATGATGCACTGCATCCGGGAGTGGACTCCAGTAGGAGGAGTTGGCCAGATACTCTCTCCCACTCTGGAACCACGTCACTAACACACACGCACACACACACACTTCCAGAGACCGGAAAAAGTTTCTTAGAGAAACTGCCGGTCATCCCGGAGAACTGAGAAATTGGCCAAAATCAAGGGGTATCCCACTACGAATCAGCCAGAACCACTTGGGAATTATAGGTGCGAGAAAACGAAAAAAATAATTAATTATCATTGTCGCTGACGTGGCCATATTAATTTAATTAACATTTAGTTAACATTACATTTACATTATATTAAATTAACATTATTTTAACATTAAATTAACATTATTTTAACATTAAATTAACATTACATTAATATTAAATGGATTTTAATTAACATTTTACATTTAAAATAGTTTTTTTTACCTGTTGCATTTTGATTGATTGGTGTTGTTGTTTTATTAAAATTTATACTTACCTATATTATGTCAACAGTGTTTCCCTCATCATGATTTGGAATGATTTTGAAACAAAAGGGGCGGGGGGGGGGATATTGAAAATTTGTGAGGTCATCACCCCACTCAAAACTGTTTCTCCGGCCCTGCTAGCGTACTCTGGCCCGTCGGCAGGGCCGCTGAAAAGGCCACTGAGAATGCTAAGAGCTCTTGGAAAGTCATCGCGTCGTGTATAGCCAGTTCCGAGCAATCGGGATAGGGATTGGCGATGGTGCCGATGGTTTGCGGCAGGTTAACCTTGTGGGATGAGGGAAGCCAGTTTTGTTTTGTCGTTTTAGGCAAACGTTGTTCAGTCGGCTACTCACCTGCCAGATGCTTCCATCGCCGGCCTGGGTCATCTTCTCCGTGGAGAATATGTTGCTTTTCTCAGCGGCTCCTCCCCCGGCTGCTGCCCCACCTGCCCCACTGGCGGCACTGCTCTGGTGGTTGTTGAGGCCGAAACCGCTGATGTTGTTGCCGCCGCCGGCACCCGCCGCTGCAGCTGCAGCAGCTGCCGCCGCCACCGCCGCCGTTCCCGCAACGGTGGCCACTGTGGTCGCCACCGCGGAGTTGGATTATTGGATTAATTATCCACAAAAATATTTATGCCACCTTTTAAGTGATATGATTTCTATTTTCATGGTAAATTTTATGAAATTATTGTTGAAATTAGTTCCAATGTTCCCATTTATTAACATATGTATGTAAACAACAGTATGTAAGAATAACATCAGCAGAGAGAGCTTTGAAAGAACAAACTGTTAAGCTATGTTAATGGAGTCGAGTAAAGTTAGCCGTCACAGAAAGATCACCGCGCGGAGTTGCGGTCAATAAATAATTATTATTATTTCAGTAGAAACAATGCGTCCTGGTTTAATGTACATTCGGGTTACGGAAATTCTCCCCTCATCAATTATTATTATGAAAATAATTAACACAATATATTATTTATTTTTTTTTACTTCCAATAAACTATTATTTTTTTTTAAAGTGAATTTTTTCCTGATTTTTTTGGCTTTTTCAGAGGTATCCTCGCGTAACAAGTTCCATACGTAGTCGCCCAGAGTATAGAGCTGGGAGAAACAAATTTTAAAGCATTGTGATAAAAGCCTAACGGTATATTTGCTTAATACATTTTAATAAATAAATATTGAACTTGCACAAACGCTTATAACGGTGAAAAAATATTTTCCCAATATGTGATTATAAGGCTGTGAAATATGCAAAAACGCGCGTTTTTGGGACATTTGAGTGTGCGTAAAAGCTGATTGGCTATTGATATTAACAAATCCACAAACTTATATTCTTATTTTGATTAGTAGAAGTGAAAAATAAGAAAAAATCAACTTAAACATTTTTTTGTCGCACAGTGTTATTAAACAAGAAAGGAAGCTAGCCAAGGCAAACCGAAGCTTATATACCGTTGCAGTCATTAAATATGTCGATCAAAATGCATAATGGCTAAACAACATCGAAACTATAAAAAAATTTTCTATTCGTTTTTCATATTTTCGACTATTGTTCATATAGCAGCTATATGATATAATTCTCCGATTTTGAAAAAATTTAATTCGTAATTCAAGAATCGTTAGAAAACTCTATATTCCAAAAATCTAACAAAAAACAACGATGTTATAATTTTATTTCTGTTATATCTATATAGATTTTTCGATCTTTCCTATGGCAGCAATATGATAACGTTGTCGGGTTTTAATAAAATTGTTTTCTCAAATCAATGGTTATTAAAAAGTTTCAGTTCATTTTATGCAGTACTGTACACTTTGGGAATCTTTTTGGTTTTTGTGTTTCTGATTACCCGTTTTGGCTGAATCACTTCCGTAAGCGGGACACCTTTTTGCCGAAAAGCCGCCCCTCCCGCCCTTTTTTTGATTTTTTAATTTTGAAATTTTTTCGCAAAATAAGTATGTTTTCAAATAAAGTTAAACATTTTAGCTTTTCATCTTTAATCGTTTTCTCAAAACAATTTTTTTAAAAAGTGTCATTTTTCGGCCCTACAAGGGTAGAACCTGCCTTAAACAGTAAAAAAAATACATATGTTTTTTATAGGTTTGTCAATAAATTACTATTACGCTGCTTTTTCTAACGTAAGAAAATCTAAGCTCCATTCGAAAACATCCCATTAAAGCCAACTAATAAGAGAAAAAAACACTTTCCACTTAAAACCATTATTTAAGAGCCTATTCTGCAAAGAGAGTTGCTAACGAAGAGAGAATTTCCTTTTAGAATAAACTTT